GTTTCCCTTACCATTGGTCTCCCTTACAATAACTTTCCGTTACCTTGGGTCTCCCTTACCACTGGTTTCCCTTACCTTGGGTCTCCCTTACCTTGGGTCCCCCTTACCTTGGGTCTTCCTTACCTTGGGTCTCCCTTACCTTGGGCCTCCCTTACCATTGGTTTCCCTTACCTTGGGTTTTTCTTACCATTGGTCTCCTTTACCATTGGTCTCCCTTACCATTGGTTTCCCTTACCATGGGTCTCCCTTACCTTGGGTCCCCCTTACCTTGGGTCTTCCTTACCTTGGGTCTCCCTTACCTTGGGCCTCCCTTACCATTGGTTTCCCTTACATTGGGTTTCCCTTACCATTGGTTTCCCTTACCATTGGTCTCCCTTACAATAACTTTCCGTTACTTTGGGTCTCCCTTACCACTGGTTTCCCTTACCTTGGGTCTCCCTTACCTTGGGTCCCCCTTACCTTGGGTCTCCCTTACCTTGGGTTTCCCGTACCATTGGTTTCCCTTACCTTGGGTCTCCCTTACCATTGGTTTCCCCTGCCATTGGTCTCCCTTACCTTGGGTCTCCCTTACCTTGGGTCTCCCTTACCTTTGGTTTCCCTTACCATTGGTTTCCCTTACCTTGGGTCTCCCTTACCTTGGGTCCCCCTTACCATTGGTTTCTCTTACCTTGGGTCTCCCTTACCTTGGCCCCCCTTACCTTGGCTTCCCTTACCATTGGTTTCCCTTACATTGGGTCTCCCTTACCATTGGTCTCCCTTACCTTGGGTCTCCCTTACCATTGGTTTCCCTTACATTGGGTTTCCCTTACCTTGGGCCTCCCTTACCATTGGTTTCCCTTACCTTGGGTCTCCCTTACCATTGGTTTCCCTTTACCTTGGGTCTCCCTTACCTTGGGTCTTGCTTACCATTGGTCTCCCTTACCTTGGGTCTCCCTTACCATTGGTTTCCCTTACCTTGGGTCTCCCTCACCATTGGTTTCCCTTACCTTGGGTCTCCCTTACCATTGGTTTCCCTTACCTTGGGTCTCCCTTACCATTGGTTTCCCTTACCTTGGGTCTCCCTTACCATTGGTTTCTCTTACCTTGGGTCTCCCTTACCACTGGTTTCCCTTACCTTGGGTCTCCCTTACCATTGGTTTCCCTTACCTTGGGTCTCCCTTACCATTGGTTTCCCTTACCTTGGGTGTGCCAGTTGTACCTGACGTATACAACAAATATACAGGGTCTGTTGCTGGTACAGGAACACAATCATGTGGTCGTGAAGATGACATCTCTTCCTCCCAACTCACATCCAGTCCATCTTCATAAGAAGCCTTTTTCTGCCAAAAAAGATAATAAATAATAAATTGAAAAACATATGTTAGTAATGGCGTATTGGGAAATTGCCTGTGCATAGCTGAGCAGTATAATGCTGCAAAAAGATTAAAATTTTATTTTATGTAGTGTTTACAACCATTACAAAAGACTAAATGAGTGTAACCTTACCATTTTATGCATGTATATTTATTAAACTTTTCAGTGTATAATTTCATGACAATGCCAAGTTTTTCTGAAATTTTTATTCAACAAAAATATTCCAAATTTGGGGTAACCATGGTGTATTTGCTTTGCTTTTAAATTCAGTCACATTTATGACACTGATCATGACCAACTTGTAAGAATAAAGTGAATAGAGTGATTGAAAACTGTATTTAATATATTATCATAACCATACAAAACAGTTGCTGCATAAGACAACGTTCATCGTCTCTTCCCCTTAGTTTTAAATAACTCAAAGTCAGACTGAGTACATACCATTGGTCTGTCATAGATCACACATTTATACGGTTTATGATCACTCATATTAATAGCCTGGCTCAATAATGGCTTGTAATCCACAATTCTTCCTGGTTCAATACCACATGATGCTGATACAATCACTTTAGGCTGTAATATCAAACATATGTCATAAAAATAAACCTTATAATGATGTATTGTTAAACACTTTGGTACATGCAATTTTAATGCATTTGCTTCAACATACAGATTAACAGAATCTTAATTTTGATAAAATGTCATAAGCTCATTATGAAAATATGGTTTATTTTAAATTATCAACATTCTGAATTGGTGAAATCACACATTAGCTAAATTAGAACATGGTAATGAAAACAATTTCAGAATATTAGATAGTGGATAAAAATAAAACTATTTATTATAAATTATTTATGAATTATAATTAACATAATGATTTATTATTCTAACATGCCACAATACTTCCACATTCTATACACTTAGTTTTCAGAATTAAGTTGCCAAGCAACCACTTGGCTTGTATAAACTCAAATTCATTAACTTTATTAAACTCAAATTCAGTTTTATCTACTAGTACCTGTAAACAAACTGTGTTTGAAATTTTATGTTTATTTCAACAAGACCATCCACATCAACTATAGGTATTAACTGATATCAAAGAAAGCTTAGAAAGAACTCCCGTGTGCTGAGAGTATTTAAGACACATTAAAAATTAATTCAAAATCAGGTAACTAATATGAACAGAACAGAACAAACAAATTATGAATTATTATGCTAATTAGAGAATTAATATGAACAAATTTTAACCCAAAATTAATCAGGCCTGTCTATAGTCCTAGAGCATTTATGTACCAAACTTTATTCAAATGTGATGATCAGTAATTGAGAATCAGTGTTAATTAATTTATGTTAATTAAGTGATTAATAAGCATAAATATTTACCAAAAACTAATTTGGTCTCATTGAAATGTGATGAGTACTTTTTAAAAGTTTCATTAAAATCCAATTCGTGGTTCTTTATATATCAGTGTAACATTCATGGACAAAATTAACTAGTTATGCAAATTAGGTAATTAATATCCAAAATTATTTACCCTAAAACTGATCAGGTTTCTGCATAGTCCTAGAAAATCTATGTAGTAAGTCTCATTGAAATATGATGATTAGTACTTGAGATATCAGGCAAAAAGCTGAAAATTAACTAATTATGCTAATAAGGTAAATAATATGCACAAATATTTATCCAAAAACTAATCAGGGGTCTGCACAGTAACTATGTACCAAATTTCATTGAAATGTGAGGATTACTACTTGAAATATCAAAAAGCTGAAAATTAATTAATTATGCAAATTAGGTAATTAATATCTACTGGTTTTACCCTAAAAACTATCAGGTCTGTGAATGTCCTATGACATCTATGTACCAAGTTTCATTGAAATGTAATGATTACTACTTGAAATATCAAAAGCTGTAAATTAATTAATTATGCAAATTAGGTAATTAATATGTACTGATATTACCCTAAAAACTATCAGGTTTGTGCAGTGTCCTATGACATCTATGTACCAAGTTTTATTGAAATGTGATGATTAGTATTTGAGATATCAGTGAAAAAGCCCCAAAATTGATTAATCATTATGCAAATTAGGTAATTAATATTGCACAGGTTTTAACCAAAACCTAATCAAATCTGTGCAATGGCCCAGAGTATCTATGCACCAAGTTTCATTAAAAATCAATGTATGGTTCTTGAGATATCAGTGGAACAGACGGACACACATACACACACACATACAGACACACTAACTGCAAAGACTCCCATTGTGTGCTTCGCACAAAATCAAAACTCAAGATGCACAAATTGAATTGAACATGTACGTCTTGTTAAAAAGATCTGCTATATAAACACAGCTAATATAATCATAAACTTATGTTTGTAGCTTCATATACAAAATGTACTTCATTGATCCATCATATGCGATACACAAAGAATGACAAAATTGAATGCCATTAAATAACAAGCAGCCTCTCGGCTGAGATAGCTCCGCTGTTAGCAATGCACATTTCAATTAAAGAACAGAAGATATCATTAGAAAATGAACAATATGTATAGTATCCAAACAATCAGACTTGTGGTTTTCAACAAGAAGTAGAAAATATCACCTTTTACCAAAAATTACAAAAATATTCATCAAAATTAGAGAATTGAAGATATCATCATGAAATGAACAAATCTGAGTTAGAACCACATGTAGTACCTATATATGTAATATCAAAGCAATTGGACTTGCGGTTTTCAACAAGAAGTCAAAAATATCACTTTTTACCAAAAATTACAAAAATATTCACCAAAATTAGAGAATTAAAGATATCATTACAAAATGAACAAATCTGAAAGAGGTCCACATGTAGTACCTATATATGTAGTATCAAAGCAATTGGACTTGCGGTTTTTAACAAGAAGTCGAAAATATCAGTTTTTACCAAAAATGACAAAAATATTCATCAAAATTAGAGAATTGAAGATATCATCATGAAATGGACAAATCTGAATTAGAACCACATGTAGTACCTATACATGTAATAACAAAGCAATTAGACTTACGGTTTTCAACAAGAAGTCGAAAATATCACTTTTTACCAAAAATGACATAAATATTCACTAAAATTAGAGAATTGAAGATATCATCATGAAATGAACAAATCTGAGAGAGGTCCACATATAGTACCTATATATGTAATATCAAAGCAATTGGACTTGCGGTTTTTAACAAGAAGTTTAAAATATCACTTTTTACCAAAAATAACAAAAATATTCACTAAAATTAGAGAATTGAAGATATCATCATGAAATGAACAAATCTAAGAGAAGTCTACCCAAGGTACATATACACCAATTATCAAAGCATTCAGGCTTGTAGTTTTCAAGAAGAAGTCGAAAAAGTAAAACATTGACACGGACGACGGATGCCGAACGCCGACGGACAATCACTCATATAATAAGCTCCGCTCGACAAAGTCAACAGCGGAGCTAAAAATTAAACAAATTGTAATTACTACAAGAGCTGCATGCCCTTATATTTATCCACTCTTGACTAAAAGATGCCTAAATCACCAGGCAGTACATACATACCTTGGCATGGTTGATTCTAGTGCTCAATTCTTTGGAAGCAAATCCACCAAATACCAGTGAATGAATGGCTCCGATTCTACTGCATGCTAACATAGTAATCACAGCTTGTGGAATCATTGGCATATATATCAATACCCTGTCACCCTGTACAACACCAAATTTATTGAGTACTCCAGCAAAATAACTGACCTGATATAAAAAGTAAATCTTCAGTCATATATATATACAAGTATTTTTTCTGTTTTTTTACGCAAGACAATGTCTATTGGTTCATTTAAATTTTGTTTTGTTTACAGTATCAGTCTATTAGTCTCTTGGGGACAGGTGGATAATTTTAAAACTACTTAATTGCCTGGTAAGAATTTATTGCGAATGTGTAACTGGTAATTAAGGAGTGTGACCTAGTTTCAGTGTTTCCTGGATGATTGTTTGGTAATAGGATATGCCTATATCATACAATTTATTTATACATGTACTTTTATTATGAGTATCTTTCTGAAGAAAATGAATTGATATATATATACTGTAAAAACTCGATCACTTTTAAATAATTTGCTTTGAAAAACGGTCAGGTTTTTAGAATACAAAATAAGGATAAATTTTCAGCCAGTCAAAATGTTTAGAGTAAAAATACAACAAATATAAAATACAGTTGCACAGTAAATTAAACCTCAAACAAAATTACACACACTTTCCTGCGTCAACATGGAAATGTTCACGTCTCTAAACAAATTTGTGAAGGAAAAATAAGTGAGCAATTTCTGACAAAAATTCATTAAATAATTAGGTGGCTGAATTTTTAGATATACATTTGTACCAAATAATATTGCCATGGATAGAATGATTTAATATGCATAATTGCTCACTCAAATGTTCTAAAAAAAATATAAAAAATGTTTGATGTTTTTGTAGTTCTTAAATATTATATATGAAGCCAAACAAAGAATGTTTTTTGCTTTGTTCCAACTGTCTATGAGTCTACGTCTATAACTTAACTATTAGTTAAATAAACTGTGTGATCGACTGAAGCAACATCACATCAAGATTATTTCTGTTGACAATAGATTTGAGTGAGATATACCAATAAAATATTGGCATTTCTATAATCAATTACTTACAACTGGAAAGCAATCACGGATACATGTTATATAATTACATGTATTATTAAAGTACTAATACCATGCATACTAAACATTATAATAGATCTCCACCATTAAATAGCACATACCGTAACTAATCAAATTAGCCGGAGTGATTTGCTGTACATAAGTAGTTCTAGTCATTTTACAAATACATGCATGTCGACATATTATTAGGGTCTGTGACAATTTAATTATTGTACAACAGCTGTGATTTCAGAATACATATTTCTATCTAAGGATGGAGTGACCTCAAGAGCAACAATCAGTCTGAGTTTCGTATGACCTCTGACCTTAAGTAACAATGAGTCTGAGTCTTATATCATGTGACCTTTGACAAGTCAAACATTTGTTTTGAAATATACAGCATGTAAGCGGTTGAGCGTCTACACAGTGTCACCGCACAATTACACTATTGAATTTAATTTAGCAATGATCTAATGCTTTCACTTATTTTATTTTAAATAAATATATAAAGAATATTGGAGATAAGGAGAGGGAAAAATTGTATATCCTTGTAAATTTGGACTATCAGAAGCAAATCCACACCATTTCCAGATTTGACTCTGACATAATTATTCCATAGTTATCGAAGCATATCTACAGAAGACAGCATGGTGCACTAACCCACATCTACCTTAATACTATCTCACCTGTTCTAGTAGTTCATTATATGTGATATGTTGGACAGTGTTTGTTACTGGACTATCATGTATCAAAGCCACTTCTTCACCAAGACCATTCTCTACATTACGATCCACTGCATTGTAACATGTATTTAATTCACCTCCAACGAACCTGTAAAAAAAATCACTTAAATTACACTGTCAAGAAAAAATGAAAATGTTTTTTTTTCTTCAATCAAGAAAATTAGAAGATCCATTTCTATTGATAAGTCAGATAATCAAATATAACTTGGGAGGATATGCAAAGAATGTGATTTTAATATCAATAGATCACCAATAGAGAACATATGTACTGTAATGCTGATTTGATTGCTAAGAGTATTTAGACAAAACATAAGCCAACAAGTCATTGTCAATGACACGTCCCCGTTCCGTTCATATTTGAGTTACATATACATTCAAAGCAGATCATGACCGAAATGCACCTGCATATGTACAACACATTGTACTAAATCTGAACAAAATCCATCCATGCATGACTGAGATCTTGTTCCGGAATTGTGAAAATACGTGATTTTAATGCATTTTCGGTCTTAAAATGGCCATCATTCAGCTATTGTTAAGCGGATCATGAAACAAATGCACATATCTATTTGTGACATGATGCACCATGTGTGTGTGAAGTTTGAACTTGATCAATCCAGACATGTCTTGGATACGGATCCAGAACTGAATTCTTTAAGAAAATAGCCGCCAGTCGGCCATTTCGAACTTGATCCGGAAAAAAAAATGACGTGTATCAAGGTCCTATTATGTTTAATGTAAGTACCAAATTTGAACGAAATCCGTCCATGCATAACTGAGATCTGGGTCCGGAATGGTGAAAATGTGCGATTTCAATGCATTTTCGGCCTTAAAGTGGCCGCCATTTGGCTATCGATAATGGGATCATGAAACAAATGCACATACATATTTGTGACATGATGTACCTTGTGTGTGTGAAGTTTGAACTTGATCAATCCAGACATGTCTCGGATACTGATCCAGAACTGAATTCTTTAAAACAAAATGACCGCCAGTCGGCCATTTCGAACTTGATCCGGAAAAAAAAATGACGTGCATCAAGGTCCTATTATGTTTAATGTATGTACCAAATTTGAACGAAATCCGTCCATGCATAACTGAGATCCGGGTCCGGAATGGTGAAAATGTGCGATTTTGATGCATTTTCGGCCTTAAAATGGCCGCTATTCGGCTATCATTAATCGGATCATGAAAAAAATGCATGTGCATATGTCCCATATAATGTGTGATGTATGAGTGAAGTTTGAACATAATCGGTCCATGCATGTTCGAGATACAGGTGATCACGGACGGACGGACGGACGCACGGACGGACCAACGGACGGACGGACGCACACAGGGCAAAACATAAGTCCCCGTTTTCGGACTCCGTCCGAACGGGGACTAACAAGTAGGCAGGCCCAACACATGCACAGTATGAGTGATAATCTACTACAATAGAATACAAAAGTACATACAGGACAAATTTTTATTAATTAATTGTGTGAATATGTCAGGATAGTAACAATATACATCAGTACTTTATACCATAGACCCTCTAAATCTGTTAGAGGGTCTATGTTTATACACTGGAATGTCCCCTGGTGTCAGAACTATAAATGTATGGAAAACAAGTCATGAGATCTCGCAATTTTCTATTGTAGAGCCTGTATGAGACAAGATCTTGTGATTTATGAGACTTGAAGGGGTTCCTTTTTTTTTCCAGTTTTTGTTGGAGTTCCCCCACACCGAAGTCCTGCATTCAATTTGTTCATGCAGTCATGTAAATTTGTTATAAATATCATTCAAATGACTGTTGTCAAAAGTCATGTGCAATTCCACAGATTAAAAAAATATTATTATCTGAATATATTGTACTTCACACTCCATATTTATTCACTCTTATGAACATTTTTGTAACTGTACTCAAAACAAATAGCAGACTAACAATAACAACATATTTTATATTTATTGCAGGTAGATAACAGAAACAACAGCTCTGTTGTTGTCCTTGTCATTAACTCTGGTCATAATAACCCAAGCACTTCTTATCCAATCATCTTTCAACTAGAATATCGAATTAATCAGTTCAAGTGTTGTCGGGTTCACTTGATAAAAAATATTTGTAAAAATGTAACTTTTCTTTTTGTGGTTACAATAAATCAAACAATTTTTATCAGTCACTTATCAATCACTATAAAATATTAAATAATATATATAATTTTCCCACCAGACATAGATGAGTATTTTTCCTGCCAACAATTCTGGCCTATTATTTATCCTTCCAAAATTTTGCTTATATATATTGCTGTACTATTTAGAAATTTGTATGGCAATTCATGTAATGTTATATTATAAGTGACTTGGGATTTATATAGTATATGTATTATTAAAAGTACAGAATGTTATCATACAGGTATTAAAACATACCCCAACATTTATTTAATTTACATTCTCAGATTCAAATTATGACCAGTGTGATATAAACACAGTCTAGTTTATATCCACCCAAATTGTTATTCTGTATTTAATATCTAGATTCTCAAAGGGCAAGGTTGAATAGTTACACTATTATTTATTATCATCTCAAAGACACCTATCTATTAAAAGATGGCAACATTGGGAATACTAGTAAGTGCATCCTCTAGTGGCGAGGCTTGTGCCTAAATAATGTGCCTCATATTCCAGTCCCTTCCCTAGGAGGCTGTCAATTGACTAATGCATTATGAGTCAGTGAATAACTAAAAATGTTATTGCAGTGAAAACATCCTTGGTATCCTGAAGACATGGAGACACAGCATCTTTTTAGAAATGTCACAAATGCCATTAAATCACAGACAGTGGTTTATAGTATTATCAACTGCAGAAATTTCTCGAGCAACCCTGGTGTGTACCCTGTTGCTTTATGTCAAAGGTCATGGCTCTGTGTTGTGACGTTTTGTTTATTTGATGAAATATATAATAACTTCCTGCATTAATCTTTACATTGGCCAAGTTAAATGAATAAAACTGAACAACTCGTTAATAGATAGATCAATTCGCAAATAAATCGATTAATTCGTATAATCATCAATAGCAGTAATGGCCATGTTGATCAATGAATGGCCACGCCCCCAACGTTGATGTGTAAACAATGTCGGTCGCCATTGATTATAATGTTCAATGCAAATGCACTTACCACTTTGTGAACGGTGGATTAGTATGATCCAGAACTCGTTCGAAAGGCTTGTGCCAGGTGATCTTTTCGGCGGCTTCGCCCCAAAACTCCTCTGGGTGGCTCAGTGATTCTCGGAATACTTCATCGTACTCACTTGCAAGTCTGACGGATTTCGAAAAGTTTCGACACACAGAATAATTAATGTTTCGTAGATATTTTGACAATGTTCGGTATTTTGTAGGTGTGACTTGATGATACTGTCGCAAACATGTTGAAGCACTCAATAAGTGTTTAAATCGACATGTGTTCAACAACAGACTCGCCATGTTGTTGTGCGTCGTGACCCTTGCATGTAACCTCTACCAGGGAGCATTTCCGAGTTTTACCGAACATTGCCGACATAGTAGCCTTCGGCACGGCGTCACCTTCATTTACACCCAAAATGGCAGCCACTGGAGAATCTCTGAATTTGGAGCGAGGTAACTATTTAACGTAATTCCTATCAATCTTTTTGCGGTTTCTTCGCCAAATTGCATTTAAGTGTATTTTTTTCTACATGTACACATTGAGTGATGTGAATTTCGTGAAATGCCGCGTAAGGATTTTGACGGCGTGTCTTTGAAGATAAATGGTCAGTTCACCAATGAAATTACGATTGGGCTTGGCTGACTTGGGCAATTACTAGTAGTAGCGAATAACGATGTTGACATCATACTAGCTATATTAGTGATACGTTTTGTTTTATTTCTACGTATTGGATCATTGCCATATCACAGTTTTACCAACCGGTACGCTACCACAATCGTGATTTAATGCGCATACGGCTATTCTTCCTATCCGGATCTTGACTAAATTGTTCTATTCATAGTGATAAGGTGTTTTTCTGTCTCATCCATGTCATCTTGTTTTTTTTCTTGTTAATACACTGATTTATACAAAACCCTCAGCCGCAAATTCTTCAAATATATTTCCGTTACAGTGGAGTGATAAACAAACTGACGTCAAACACAAATCTAATAATTCTTGTTATATTTAGTTTTTCACCTCTTGTTTTGGGTTTATATAATTGTCACAAAATATGCTAAAGAGATCAATAACTAAAGAAAAAATCTGCATGTCTATTTATTAGGGAAAAATATTACACACAGAGTAAAAAAAAAATATGGAAGTGATGGAAAAAAATATTTATCATAGTTTTTTTTTGTCATCGCCCAAGAGTTTCTAATGGTCCACCCCTAATTAATATCTACGCAAAATTATTATCCCTAAAAATTCAACCAGTGTGCAATATACAAGTGTAACAAAATCATTGTTTTTATCAACTTCTGTTACTTGGCGCTGATAATATAAAAGAATTTATACGTAATTATCATATGCAGTAAAACTCAAACTGCCAATAAACAAATCAATCTCAATAATTCATTGTATTTTCCAGTATGATGAATTTACATCTGAGGTTGTCCTAAATTATTGCTACTAGTGCTATGAATATATAAATCCTTCCATCTTGAGTACTATAATTACTACGCAAAGTGTTCGCTGTTGACCAGACCAGGCCATCATGAAATGAAAGTCAAGTTGACTTGAATTCAATTAGGATTATTCTAGTTCTTAGAATCATTTTCATTTTAATGAAATAGTACATAATATCATAGACCCTACACCATTGTGAAATCACTGTGATAAATTTGAAAATTGTTGACTTAGCCATAATGAACAATGTGTAACAAATAATTAATCATCTTTATTCAATTTTTAGATGTGAGACGTGCTGTGGAATTATTAGAAAATCTCCAAAAAAGTAAGTACATGTGAATATTATTCATTTCAAAGCTGTTATTCCAACTTGAAAAGAAATATATATGTAAATGTACAGTGTTCTCCCCAGGTCTTTTAAGCACTGCGGGCCCGCGTCGCTTAGACAAACAGCCGCGTCGCTTTTGTTTCGCCCGCGATCCTTGAAATACTGCCCGCGATGCTTATTCACGTTGTATTGTTTACAAGTGTCAGCCTCGTCTAGCACACCTTTATACAATAACATGTATTGATCGAAAGGTAATCCCGCCTTTGTACATAGTTAGCCTTACAAAAACAGTGATAAAAACGGAAGTCTACAAGAAGTTACCAAGTCTATCAAGGGTGCGGAGCTGGCAAACCCAAAATACTAGGGTAGTAATAATTTGCCCATTGCGTCGGGATGGTCTATCCCGAGTTGCTGCACTGCGATTAATTGCGTTTTTACTACTTCATCGCCAGTGACACTAATTACCAAGAATTAAAAAAACAAGTGAAATTAAGTCGCATCGAAAAAAAAAAACTGTAAATAAATCGAAGTAAAAATTATTCAACTGCAGACGAGACGGACGAGGAAAAAACAAACCCTGACCTCTAGAAATACCTCATTCATAGTGCGTCATTACCAAGGAACACCACCCTAAGGCGACGTAACGCATGTAGTGACATCACAACCGATGCATGCTGGGTTACAACGGAGATTTTGATTAAGGTAACAAAGATGGCGGCGCAGAGTGCATGTTTTTCCGCAATGTTTAAAAAACAACATTTCGTTGGCGATTTTGATGTAATTTCTAAGTTAATCATCAATGAATCGTTTTAATTAAGCAAACATTCTAAGTTTGTGTATTTTTAAACAAAAAAGTCAGGGGCCGATGATCGAAACAGCAGCGGTGAATACCCGTTCAACGCAATGCCGTCAGCTGACAATATTACGGTGATCGTAGCGTTACACAAATAATAGATAGATCAATGAAAAATCGCTGACTTTAGTTTTGAAGTGCCGTTGTAGAAAAAAAATGTCATTATTGATTTATTAATTTCTTCATACAGATTTTACAAATTTAACCAAATTTTTATTATTTTTATTTCGATCATGAATGTCTTGTAGCTAGGGATTAAGACTTGGTGGTGCAGAGGTCAAAAGATTTGATTTTTGATGAACCTGCCTAATCATGTCTGTTGTGTGTTGACAATTTTCAGGTGGCCAAGTACCATCTCAGAAGTTAGCTGCTCTCCAGAAAGTACTCCAAAGTGAATTCTTTACTGCTGTATGTGAGGTTTATGAGCATGTCCACGAAACTGTGGATATTTCAGGGAGTCAAGAAATCAGAGCCAATGCCACTGCCAAGGTGAGTATCAATGTTTCTGCTTGTAACATTTTTGTGTTGGAATTTTCTCAGTGAAATTTCAAAGAAATATTTCGTTTAAATTCATGCATTTTGTTTTAAAATACATCTGATTCAAGGTGCGTTTGAAGATGAAATCTTACCTATTTCTCTGTACCAAATTTACTTAGAAACAACACTTTTGAGGAATGTTTGATGAACACTTATTTGTCAATACATTTGTATTGTAGGCAACTGTTGCTGCATTTGCTGCCAGTGAGGGCCATGCTCATCCCCGTGTTGTAGAACTTCCCAAAACTGATGAAGGCTTAGGATTCAATGTGATGGGTGGAAAAGAACAGAACTCTCCAATCTATATATCCCGTATCATACCAGGTGGTGTAGCTGATAGGCATGGGGGTCTGAAACGTGGAGACCAGTTGCTTTCAGTAAATGGAGTGGTAAGTCTTGTTTTCTCTTTGTAGTGAAATTGTACTTAGCATATTTGTTTAGTTATCACAGAAATAAAATAGACAGTTTCACATCTCTCTTACAGTGGTTCTGAGGATTATTCAGATAGTCAGTTAGAAAGATGGCATGCAGCTTTGCAAAACACGTTGGTTTTTGTCAATTGACATGTACAGTTTATATCATTCCATTATACTAAATGAAAGTAAAGTGAAGCTTTTTTGATAATGGATGCATTTATTAAAATATACAGGTTATTTAAATGTGTTTTAATATTTCTCAAATTCAATATGTACACTAGATTTGCAAATCATGTTCAACCACTCCTATGAACTGGTAGATCATATAAAGCATGCCATGATCAGTCAAATGGCACCATAAAATGTAGAACAGAGCAAACGCCTAGTGCTGTCTGAATAATTCTGAGTTTCACTGTAAATCCTTCCATCTTGAGTACTATAATTACTACGCAAAGTGTTCGCTGTTGACCAGACCAGGCCATCATGAAATGAAAGTCAAGTTGACTTGAATTCAATTAGGATTATTCTAGTTCTTAGAATTATTTTCATTTTAATGAAATAGTATATAACATCATAGACCATACACCATTGTAAAATCACTGTGTGATAAATTTGCAAACTGTTGACTTAGCCATGAAAACATGAACAATGTGTATCAAATAATTAATCATAATCATGTTTAATAAATTTTTAGATCACATGACCATATATGAATGTCTTGTAAATTTCATGCGTCTTCTCATATGCAAATAAGCTGTGTTGTTTGTTCGCATAAGTTAATTGACTGATAGCTAATTCAAAACACGCTTGTGTGACATTATGTCTTGCTATACATTTCTACTACAGTCTGTTGAAGGTGAACACCATGAAAAAGCTGTTGACTTATTAAAGGCAGCCCAAGGTACTGTCAAATTGGTTGTACGCTATACACCAAAAGTACTTGAAGAAATGGAAGCTAGATTTGATAAACAACGAATGGCACGTAGACGTCAACAACAACAGTAGAACAATGGTAAATATTTATTATGGTTGTAATAAAGTTGTGATGTTTTTTATTTTGTTATCTTTTCTTGTGTTTCCATTATTTCCTAGACTATCAACTGGCCTAATTTGTTAGTATACGTAGAAGGTGTTTGCAAGAAATGATGCAGCATTTCAGCGGAGGGCTGTTCAGTTCTGCATAGTTTCCCTTGATATTAATTATGCATGCAAGCGATTGACATCTATCAGTTTTAATAATAGGCGAAGCATGGCTCGGTTTACAGTACAGTATGCAATGACGTGTCCACCGAATCTGTGATTGGGTAGTTGCTTTGTGCATGAGCTGTCAATCACTCTGTTCAGTAATATTGGAAAACCATGTAATCTCGTGTGAGGGCGTCTTCGCTGAAATGCTTGCAGCATTTCTTGCAAAATCCTTCAGTGATGCTGATTTAGTATACTAACAAATTAGGCCTGAGGACTGTTAACAGTCCTGGGATCTGCCCACGCTGGGCAGAACTCTGACAGTCTAATTATTTCCATTCTCATGGGCACTTAATTTTCCTATGTTGCTGATTAAATATTAGTGGCATGTTTGTTTAGTACATTGCTTTAAATTACTATATAATACTATTTGATTGTTTTTCAGGTGATTGGTTGGAAATCAGTACTAGAGATAGACTTGTATTTCTGTCACTTATTTCTACATGTATCTACTGGCACCGTACTCCAAGAGATCCCAACCCACATGGTCTCAGACTGTCATTTATTACGCTGTCGTTCAGTTGATTTCTAAGTGGTTGTTATTGCTGCCATTTCAACATCTCCAGTCCTTGTGGACATCACAGACTATAGTCTTGAGTACATTTCTCACCTGTATAACATCACTTCCTTACTGGGAATAATATTAAACTTTTTAAAACAAATAACACCTTATATTTATATTAGTCTAACGTGATTGGTGGAAGACTTTAATCTTTTAGTTCAGTTCTTAATATTGGTGTTCTCTTTGGTTGATTCTGTTTACAAGGGTTGTTGAATAATTTGTATAGCTGGAGGGGGTAGCAAAAAGTAGTTTATATATGTATTTGCCAATGTATTACCAGCATAATTTTACAAGTATTTTACATATTCTGATTTCTTTCTTTATTATCTTTCAATGGGTTGTAAACATTAGATTCCTCTTTTCTCCTGATTATTTGAAAACCAGTATGAATTTTTTACCCTAACAATTTTTTTCAAATGTTGCCACTTCAGATACACAAAGATATGCAAATATAAAGTTTTGCTTGAGCTGAAAATAAACTTTGGTGTATCTCTGTGATCCTGGTCCCATGAATGCAACAGAAATGCTGTAATGTATGTATGTATTCAAAATTGATCATGATGACTTGAGATTTAAGCAAGGAATATTTGTAATGACCAAATTGTAGAACACAGATTTTATTTGTAATCCTTTGTAAAATTGAATAAAATGGCTAACCATATTTGTTGTCTTGAAAGACAATTCCAGCATTCAAACTGTTTGTAGTAGCAGTGAAAGTGCTGTTATTGCTTGTATACATGTGACATTGCCAAGCCCAAATGAAATGAGCTGAGGTTGTGTGCAAGTGTTATACAAGGCAATTTCAATATTTTCTTTTGTATTATGCATACAAGCAATGTTTGAAAGGGATGCACATGTAGGCGGGAGTGCCTTGAGATACTGTGGTTCATAATAAAGATGAAAAAAATCTAGCAAAAGTGATACTTCATATATACATGACCAAAGCATAGCGAGGTCTGTACTTTCAAATTAATTTAATATACTTGCTTCTCCCAGTCTGGGAAAGAGGGACTGATTTGAGTTGGGCTCCTGAGGGCGCTATCCTGAAATCATTGAAATTACAGAACCATGAATTCTTGAACACTGACCTCTTAGTGGTCTAATAGTTATAAAAGACATTGTATGCTTACACCTGAATGATGTCTGATTAAAATTTGATTCTGGTTTGGGATACTTTTTAATAGTTCCGCTATTCATATTACTGACTTGTCAGTCATCAACTGACTGGTCACACATACTTTCAGATTTGTTCATTTTGTGACAATACCTACAAATTTCAGGTAAAATCTTTTTGTAAAAAATATTATTTTTGACTTTTTGAAAATGACAAGCCCAATTGCCTTGATATTGTATATGCAGACAACTTCGATAGACTCAAATTAGATTTTATTTTGTGACCAAAACTTTAGTGAATATTTTTGGTAAAAAAATTATATTCCAGATGTTTTTATACAGATTTACTCCAGTTGAAGCATTATTAGATTGTTTTGGTTCATTTTTCTATCAGTCATTCATAACTTCAATTTTCTTATTTTAGCAAATATTTTCTTGAAAATGGCTAAACTGATTTGATATTTATTCTAGTGCATCTGAAACTGGAGCTTTGTTACGTTATTTTGAATTTTTTGGTAGTGTTTCAAAATACAAAATAAGTACGTAATGAAAAACAGCAAAAAAAATAAATTTCAAGAAAACACAATGTACAATACATTAAATTTTAATCAAATTATAAATTACATCTGCTACATCATTTACATACCCAGTCACCATTACACGTTTTTATTGCACATTAAGTTAACATGATTACAACTATTAAGTATTCATATACATCCAAATACATGTAAGCATGTATTAATAAATTAATATCACAATAATAAAAATCAGATACACAATTTTATGAACCTCCAAAAACAGCTCTGACAAAGGCATGCACAGTAACTTAAACCATGGAAGGCACTAACGTTTGTACCTTACATGCTTAAACAGACTTAAAGATGTGTCATGCAGGATTAATCATTGACTAGATACAGTCAAGTGATCGCCCAAGCTTGTGAGGACAGCAAAAGCCACACCCAGTCCATAAAGTTTTATCATATACCATATTACAATTTACCACAACGTGACCTCAAACACACGATGTAATTTAGAGTGACATGTTTTGATTGATGAAAGTAGGGTCAAGCATGATGTGGGAAATTATTGCCCTGATGTGAGGGCGCACTTCCCATAGCATTAGGAGGCCAGGCAGTACGAGGTATATAATAACTGACATAAATACATCACATTAAGAGTATAGTTCACGACACATTTACGAAACTCAAACCTCAACATTGGGTTGGCGAACTTGTGAGCAATGTTAAACACAAAATCAGACAACAATTTTTGTTCTCTATGGTTAGGCTTCCTTGTCTGATTCTAGCAACTCACAGACTGGTCCCTACTGTTTAGTTTGTAAGTCAGAGTAAAGCACAAGATCTTTAAAACAGTAAGTCAGTTTCTTTCAAAAAATATTTTCCCTCTGAATACCCTCAAAATTTGTGAAAAAAATAAATGGTTTACAGTATTACTCAAACCATAGAGTCCATGCACATGCAATGAATATAAGTTGGATTCACTGTGATATTCTTTGCTCAGATCTATAACAGAGTGTTGGGTACCATACTGTAAAGATGTATTCAAATGTAGGATAGTACATATATATACAAATACTAGAGATCTGCATTATGTACAGTTGTATGCTGCAATATAAATTCTGCCAGATCATTTACCAGACTCCCTAACTTATAAAACAATTGCACATTAAAAATCTACATATTCCATATTCATAAAATACCCTATTGTGAATGTTACAAAAAAAAAAGTTAAAATATAAAACAGAACTTGTGGTCACAATTCCTGAACACATGATGAAATAAAACCAGTCAAAAACAACCACCATGAGTGCATGACTCAAAATAACAATGGTGAGGGCAGTGAGTGTGAATTAAAATTGTGTTGAATAGTTTATACCAGTAGCTATGATTCCTTCTGCACTAAGGCCATCACATGACCATATGAGGCAAAGAAGTTGTACATGTATTTGATGTATCTCTTGAGGCCCACAGTACGAGAGTTAATAACATACTTGCAAGTTTGAATAAAGTAAATTTCCAGCCAAGAATCAATGCATTGTCCCTCGTGTGATGCCTAACTATAATGCTAATAATATCTTCTTTCCATTCAGACTTATGTATGTGCCACACACTATAGGCACCATCAGAGTTTTGAAAAATAAATTATTTATTGGTCAGTTTAAATGCCGAGCAAGTGGAATTCTCTATAATGATGCGATCTTCGATGACTTGCAATGTTTCGAGCAATGTCATTAAATATACATCTACAATACATGACAGATATCTAGTAATATGCACAAATATTAAACATTTGGATAACAGATATTATACAATAGACTTCATTTTAGACAAACTTTCATAGCTATCATTGATGCCATCTCAAGACAAAACTCAGATTAGACATTTATGCATTGTTTGCAATGACGACTAATATCAATGGTACACAAGTTTTCAACACGATACAAC